AGGCCCCCTGCCGCCACCACCCTGCCCCTCAATGCGGCACAGCGCGCAGTGCACAGGAAAAGGGGGAAAAGAAATCTCGCGACGTGACTGCATGGGCGCCTCGAGTAAGGGGCGTGAAATCGCTTACAGAGCTGCCAACTCGCTTCCACTTCGACTACTGCCGGGCGCTCCATCACGGCGCAGCGCTGGGCCACGCCTACCAGTTGCCTGCCCTCTCCCACGGCCGCCTCTCCCCCGCTCTCCCCCGCCGTACTCCCGCGCCCACGCTTTCATAGTCAAAATTGCTTCTCGCTGCCATTTTTCTTCTTCCTATCTGAGACGTGGCGTGGCGTGGCGCGCGGATTATCGTGGAAACACAGTCGACTGGCGGCGGCGGCGGCGGCGGCGGTAGTGGCAGCAGCAACTCCCCCTGGGGGAGCTGGGGAGGCGTGACATGCGAAGGCCAGCCCAGCGCTGCAGGACAGCAAAAACAATTAAATATAACAGAACAAACAATGTAGAACAATAAGGGCCACTGTCTTTAGAAAAGGGGCGAAGGAGAGTTGCACAGTCGGGTGTGGGGGCTGCTGGTCCGGGCCGCGCGCGTGCTCGAAAGGCATCGACATCCGATATACTTTTCATTTCCTCCGCCGGACTGGACCTAAATAATAATAATAAACCTCTTCTGTCCTTGCGTCCGGCGGGATGTGGAAAAGGGGGAAATGGAGGGTGGGAGATGGGACAGGGGAGGGGGGCGGGGGCAGAGGACGTCCGCTCCATGCAAATTTTCCCACTTGCCTCACTGAATATGGATTTCTGTCCGATTTCGATCTCGTGGCGACTCTTTTCCATAGAGATTACGGCCACATCGGCATTTTCCGCGGCCCGGTGCGCACGGCGGCGGCCGGAGGGTCGGGGCGCCGGGATAGTCGTCCTGGCCTTGTCGGGTGGATTAGAGAAAGGGGATGGAGAGACCCGAGGTCGTGCCGGGGGGCCGAGGGTGTGGTGTGGTGGCAAGCGGTGGGCGCCAGCCTCGGGCGCGGCGCAGCAGCCCTGGGCCACAGAACAGTCGCACCAACTGTTGCGCGGACATTTCGGCCGCAATCGCGTTCACGTTAGCCCGGCCGCCGACGCCGCCGCCGCCAGCCCCTGCCTCTCATCGCCATTAGCTCTGCCTTCACATACCCTGTGCTACAAAAACTCGATACGCATACTTCTAATTACAACGTCAGCGTTTAGCTTGTTTTGCAGTCGTTTGGCACACAATTGTCAACGTTTTGGATATTTGGAGAATTTTGCTGTTTCGCGATTTAAATCTACATCATTCCTCTGAAAATTACCTTGTCTAAGCAGGCGCACTCGAAAAACAAAGGTGCTAAGTCTTGCTTTTCCTGGGGCACTAACCAATTCCTGAGTTTAGTGCCCTTGTAAAGGCACTGAAGGGTCCTAACGGTGCTAAAAATAAGTGCCTTTGCCAGCTTGAGTGGCCTCGTAAAACCTCTAGTGCTTTTTAAAGGTAGGACTAAACACCACTGCAGAGTCTGCACATGTTTTTCCAGTGCGGGTAGATACGTTTTGACAGTAATGTCGTCAGAACGAGCCGCTTCAGTTGACTTCTCTGTCTTATCAATATCTGTACTTATATTTTCTGCTTGGAGATCTACGGCACCCTGTTGCCGACGGATACGTTTTCCGGGCGATTGCTTTCCATTTCTCTCCGATACTGGTTTTCCCGTGTGCACTCCAAGGAGAGCCGAGAAAAAACAGAGAGAGAGACAGAGAGAGAGCGAGAGAGAGGGAGAGAGAGAGGGGGGAGAGAGAGAGAGAGAGAGAGAGAGAGAGAGAGAGAGAGAGAGAGACGAAGTGGAGGCAAGGCTAAAGTCCGTAAGTCGACGCAAGTCGCATTAACACAAAGCGTCTGCAACGCGCTCTGCCCGGCTCTGCTCCGCCCGCCCCCGCCGGCCTGCTGCGACGACGACCGCAAAAACTTCTCTTCTGACAAATCACTGGCTGGCCGCTTTCAGCTCGCTAATGCCCGGCAGGGTGTGAGGGAATGACAAGGTGAAAGAGAAATGGGGTTGAAAATGCCACGCGCAGTCGTGCAGGAGTGGATGTTTTCGCGGAGGCGAAAGTTGTGTGCTTTTGGGGTCTTCTTTGCAGTTCTGTGGGAAAGTATGGTTTATGGTTTACACCGTAAAAACGTCTCGAAATAGCTCTTTCGCAGGCTTCGGAGAATCTCAAAGCGTTGTACCTACGTGTAAAGTCAATTGTTGTGATTGCAAAGTATAAATATATGCTTTGTAACTCATTTTTCTTTACAAAAATGTTCACATTTGATGGATTTTAAAAAGAATGTCGCAAGATAGTGTTTAAGATTTGTAGAACCGAACTGATGCGCGTACCACCCTGAATGAGGCAGGCAAACCCTCCTCTGTTCCTGCTTGCTGTCCTCTCTCGCCGGCCGGCGAGGCGAGTGTGTGTGTGTAAGGGTGTGAATGCGCGCGTGTGTGTGAGAGAGTGCGTGAGTGTGTGTGAGAGTGATTGAGAGAGTGAGTGAGGGAGAGGTGCTCTCGGGCCGGCCTGTTTGTTCCGGGAGGTGGTACAGGAGGAGGGGTCCGACGTCCCGTGGAGTGTTTGGCAGGTTTGCCAACTGTCAGGCCCGTGGGAACGGCGGGTATGCCGGCCGCGTTGCAGAGTAGCCAACTTCAACCCCCGGGCCCCCCGCGCGCCGACTCGATGGTCCCCCTCACCCTCTCTGTTCGATACACACAACTTTCATCACAAACAAACCTCCGATGAACGGACAGCGCCCAGCCCAACACTCCCATGCACATGGAGGCCCTGAAGTTTACGGTTCCAGTCGCGGTGGAAAAAGGGAAAAGAGGAGGGGTCCGATCCGATTGGCCCATCGGTCCGAGTCCAACCGGCTCGCGCGCCAACAGATGAGGTCATTCATTATTATGCGCAGTGAGCGAGAAAGGTACCCGTACCAATAGGCCCCCCAAAATGAAACAAATAGGCATGTGATTTTTGTGTTTTCAAGACTTTGACGAAGTTGCCCGAACAGATGAACAAAAAAGAAGGTAGCACTGAGGAGATGGCGTGGC